GTGTACAAGCTTTTTAGATTGTCAAAAGCCTGTGTTTTAAGGGTTATTAACGGAGTTTGTGTACTCAGACCTGTAATATTTGGGGTCATAAGTTTTCGCCATGAATATTTTGTGGGTCAGAAGATAAAAAGTTTGGGAACCTCTGCTCTAAAGTATGTCATAAATTACTGGCTTAAAACAAAAAGTATTTTCTATTATAATTCTCCTTAGTATGTGCTTTTCCACATGCAGCCTCGACATTTGGGCTCAGTTTTTGGTAAAAATAAATAAATACATTTTATATTACCAATAGTTATTTGATCACGCTATCAGAGAATTGAGTTTATACAGTAAACCTGACTTTATCTGAACACATTGTTGAATTGTAATCAACTGATCTTTGCCTACAGGCGTGAATGGAAAGTTCTGGTACGTCTCAAGCAGTKGCCTTGCGAACTCAGACGGAGAAAAGTCAGAGGACTTTTTCCTCGAGTTTCCAGAACACGGACGCATCGCCATCAAGGGCTCCAACGGCAAGTATCTTCGTGGCGACCAGGGAGGCACGCTAATGTGTGACGGTGCATCAATCGATGCATCGTGCCTCTGGGAGTACTGATGCGTTCTCAACAAGGTCTCAAAAAGAGCAGGATTTCAAGGAGTAAGACCTGCTTTCATCCAATCTAATGAAGTGGACCAACAGCGTCACTTGCCTATTTTTATACTAGGAACCCAATCCCATGTTTTTTGATTTTTTTTTTTATTGGGAAAATGTGGACAATTTAGAAGTCATAAACATTTTTGTGTGCATGTGTATGTGCGTGTGTGTGAATGTTAGATGTCATCGAGGTGACAACAAATTGCTTTTATCAAATGAAACTCACGGTTTGGAAATGTTTAATGTTTTCAGTGAGCTTTAAGAATATTCAGAAACTTTCAGAAACGTATTGCTCTGTAAGCATGTTACACATCAGACTCGGCAGACATCAGGATCTCCCTTGTTCAAATTTTGTAAACTTTCCTTTGAGGTTGGCATTTTTTTCATACATGTTCAATAGAAAATCAGCACTGAAGCAAAGCAAAAATACATAGAAAACACAGTAAATACTTGAGCTAGTAGGCGTTTTATTTATCCAAATGGGTCAGTTACAGCTTTCGTAAAAGAGCAAAAGAAAATGACACACAACTTTGTAATACTGAGAATATACAATAAATCCACAAATGACAAGTTAAGTTTGCAGAAAATGTTGTCCAGAAATGTTTGGCCCAAAACATACATTCGCATTAGCAAACAAAGAGATCAGGAATAAGCAATAAACCAAAAACGAGCAAACTTAATGTACTTGCTGAGAGGTCTGAAAGTGCTTCTGCCTGGAGGCCTTATCCACTCATAATTTTTATAGATACCTTTATGTTGCGAGTGGGTGGTAAGAGTTAAAAGAAAAAAACATATGAGTTTTTTAATACATATATATATTTTTGAAACTCAGCAAAATGGCTTACATCTGACAGTGCATTTTATGCACAAAAATTGTTGGACAACATAAAACTCCCAAGAAGGCTTCAAATATTTTTTGAATATAAAACATGAAATGCAGCCCGCTACGAGTTCTACTTTGTAAGTAAACAGCWCCCTCTCTAAAGATAAAAACCACAGTGGCAGAGCTGATTTTTCTTCAAGCCAAGAACACCTAAGTGATAAGAATAATTCTTATCTTCCCAACACCTCCTCAAAGTGACAGTTCCTCTGCAAATAGATAAATAGCTTCCTGTTGACTTTCAGTCAGCACAAGTCGTGTGTATCGACTGAACGGACTATTCCTTSGAATCTGCCGCTCTAATAAAGACAAAGACTTTATTAGCATTGATCTTTCATCTTCAGCACACAGGACAGTCTAATAATTGGTATAATTACCCCTTTAGATTTCRCCACTTGTTTTCTTGTCAGTATTTAAATCACRGTAGTACCCGAGGAATGTCTAAAAGAGTATTTCTTACGAGTGCAATCCACAATTAATTAATAAATTTTGGCAACACTGTGTAAAAATGCTTGGTTAATCATGTAACCTGTATTAGACCTGCTAGAACGTCTGGCCATATTTTAGAATTGATTTTGTTCATACAGTTATGTTCTGTTTTGGGTTTCTGATAAGATTTATAAAACATTGACAATAAAAGAAAAAGTTGAAAATTGACTCCTGGTTCTTCACAGGAACTTCATCCTCCAACACACCCACCTACACACACACACACACACACACACAC